TGGTTCATATTCTGTACTGTAGCTACGTTTTCTGTCTAATAGATATGCATTCCCAATAAGCATATGCTCATAGTTGTATGCTTTCAGCGTACCATACTTCGAAATCCAAAACCAAATATGTATTGAAGAATTAAAGACCTCAATACAGCCAATTTCGCACCCGACTCGGCTGAAGCAAGGGATTTTGACAGCGAGCAATGCGTTTTCTTAATATGCAACGAACCATTTAGCCGGACGACGTAAAAAATGCAGGGAACAATACCAAAATGAGCAAATCTTTGCAAGTTTCCACTCATTGTATATATGCTCATTGATAGTCCATACTCATACTGTCATAGGGCATTTCAGACTGTGATATATCAAAATTTAGTGTAGATATAGTCTAGTAATGGCATGCAAACATGGCTGGACTGTAGTACATGCAATGAGCATATATACGCTCATTGAGTACATCAGATAAAATGCATTATGTATTCAAGGCATTAGTTAGTATTTAGTGGTATTTTACACTCATGCTGTTCCAAATATGATTTTCTTCCTCATTTTAGATACTGTACTATACAAAAGAAAACGGCAATGTTCCACCAATCCGACCTAACGCAGGCTCTAATCCCTGCTGCTATCAGTGCTATAAAATGGATTAAACAAGAAGTCTTGAAGCGTAAAGGTATATGAGAATCATAATAGTTGCAAACAGCTTAGATGGGCTATTCATATTGAAATACTTTAGCACTTTTCTGCAATTGGAACTGCCCATCAAACTCATATTGGAAACTTCATTGAGGTTTTCAATTCATTTTTTTCTCAACTATGAAGATCATTCGAGGTTAACGAGGCATTAATAAATAAAGCTGGGGAATTTGTTTATTCACTATATGAAGAGGATATGAAGAATGTAAATGCTACCACGGCACGTCTATTTAACACTGGCAAACATGAGGATTATACACTTCCACCCAACAATAATTCACTGAAGAAGCATGTGGCCCTCAAATCAGTTCTTGAGTTGGCAAACTGCAAGTGTAAGAAAAATAGTCAAAATAATTTATGCAAGTGTGCCAAAATCAACTTAAATTGCACAGATTTTTGTTTTTGTATTGACTGCAAAAATCACAATACACTTATAGAGGAAAAGTCGATTTTCGAGCTAGTGGATTTCGAAAACAATTCAGAAGAAAGTGAATTAGATATTGCAGTTGATTTAATAAGTATCATTTATATGTTTTGTTTTTTCGGACATTTGTTAGTGTCGTAGTCCTGTTTCTAGAAATAATGTTGCCTTTGTTCAAATACATAACCACATAAACTAAAAAAAGACTAATTGTAATATTTCTGTTCACTATGTTATGTACATATTGTACATTTATTTATTTTTCGTGACTTTTCGGTAATTTTCTAAGTGAGATTTAACTGATTTATTTGTGTGTTTCCTGCTAACGATGTTAATTTGTGACTTCATTGCTTAAAAATGAATACGTTTGATAGCTTCTATAAAATGGATGTAGCTTTTTATATTGTTTTTGTTGAAAACTGCTTGTGGTTATTACATAAAATTTATTCGCTAATGTGAATCAGCGTTGTTGGTGTCGCTGCTTTCGAGGTCACTCGCGACTCCTGTCACACAATCACACAAGTATTTTTTGTTGTTGGTTACATGTATGTCATATTTTTCGTAATCTACCTAATAAATTATGATTGACTGAGGAAGTCCGATTTTGGTCAGGCAAAACATTACAGGAATACATTTGTGTTAGTGTGCTGTAGGGCTTTCGAATTGCATAGTTCTTATGTATGTGTTGTAAACTTATGGTTATTGACTTTCCGGGAACTTTTTATATTCAATTTTGCATCAGGATTGTGGAACAAGCTGTAATGCGTTCAGTATGTTCATTTTCACACAAAACTGAAGAATTTAATTAGTTACCAGATGTGCGCTCGAAACTCATTTGCTGGGCGTTTCAAGGCTTCGTCTCACGGCCCATATCCGTGGTAACGATCTACAAGTGTTTAATAACTTACTTATACATTTTTCAACAACGTCTTAGCATAACTCAACTAATAATAACTAAACAGGGCTATGGAAAGGCTGCCCAACTCAACGCAAGGTCGAGCAGTAATAACTAATATTCATCCACTCGATAACAGCTGATTCGATTCAATTGTTACGTCATGCAGAAGTCATTGTTCATTGCCGAAAATGTAAAAAATATAGGACAGATCGTAGCCAATATTTCTTGTAGTAAAAGCGTCTTTTCCGTAAAACGTGCAACTTTTGTAAGTGGGAACAAGGCAATATTTGTTACTAAATTTTTAAGAAACATTTTAAAATCATTTTCAGGTAGTTACCTGATGTGCGCTACGAAACTAACTTTCTAGGCGTTTTTCAGAGCCCCTGCTCGCAGCCTAGTAAATAATATAATATTTTATAAACTCCTGATTATTAGATGGTCTTGTAAACTTGGTATACGCCGTTATCCTTCATTCCATGCATGTAGCATATTTTTTCAATATTATTTTGGCAATGTACACCTTGTTGAAAATTTTCGATACGCATATTTTAATATCGTCACATGTACCGCAAAAATAGTGCAAGTTTCTGTAGTATTTTATTCAATTCAAGAGTCTTGCTGCACACGAACACAAATATATTTCTGTAACGTTTCGTCTGACCGAGGTCAGACTTCTTCAGACAAGCATTTTACAATTATAACAAGAAACGCAATTTCATGCACATAAATATTGGTTTCAAATGTTGGGTCTGTTTGCGATAGGAAGATATAAATAAAATTGGGACAGTGCCAGAACAATAGGAAAGCTAAATTTGATTTAAAATCAATAGATACGCCACAGTGTAGTGAGTAACAATTAAAAAGAAAATTAAACAATTTCATGCTGTTATCCGGTAACTCCGACTGTGGTATCGCCTAAGTTCCTTTAAGGGTCATGGCTGCAATGTAAGGAAATGACTTAAACCGCGAAATAGAAATGAAGTGTAATTGACAATGAATTGTAATGTTCAAATTAGCATAAATTGTAAATTTAGCCATCACTTAAATTCATCCCTAGAGGTTCCAATGTTTTCTATTTGTTAATAAAATAGGTTTCTTTGGTTTGCCGGTATACTTGATCTCGATATAGTTTTCTATTCCAATTACCAAAAAGTCGTTGATGGAATGACCTGATTGATTGAAATGTTTGCCAACTGCAAGATCTTTGTTTTTTTGATTGATGCTTCTAATGTGTTCTGTAATTCTGTATTTTAAATGTCTGCCTGTTTTACCGACGTACTGCATGCCACACTTTCTACAGGTTATTAGGTATATGACATTTTCTGAATTGCACGTTATTCTTTGATTGATATTCATTTGAAGTCTTGTGATGCTGCTAGTGCTTGTTTTAGTTTCTTCTGAATGTTTGCAGGTTGAGCATAATTTCCTGTTGCATTTATAGAAACCTGATTTCACTTCTCTTGATGATTCCGGTTTCAACTTGGCCCGAACTAGTCTGTCCCGTAATGTTGGGCACTTTCTGTATGCAATTTTGGGGGGTGCCGGGAAGATGTTTTTCAGTCTTTTGTTGTTGTCTAGTCTGTATTGATGTTTAGAGAAACTCTTTCCGAGGTTTGGTTGATTAGGATGGTAATTAGTAACGAATGGAAATAGTTGTTGGTCATTGTGTTTTCTTTTTGGTGTTAACAGTGAATCTCTAGTTATTTCTTTTACCATGGCTATTGTTTTGTCAATCGAGGTTTGTTTGTAATTTCTTTTTATCAGGTAGCTTTTCATAATTTCTGCATGCTTGGTGAAGAATTCTTCCGTTGAACATGTTCTTCTTATGCGTATAAATAGTCCTTTGGGAATGTTTGCAGTAACGTGCTTAGGGTGGCACGATGAGGGTAGAAGGTATTGGTTAGAGTCCGTTTCTTTGGTGAAAATTTCAGTTTCTAATTTGTTGTCTATTATATGAACTTTTATGTCTAGAAAGGCAATGTTTTCCGTTGAATAATCGAAAGTAAATTTAATGGTGGGGTGTATTGAATTTGCATGGTCTAGGAAATCTCTGAGTTTGGTTTCGCCGTGTGTCCATATCAGAAAACAGTCGTCAATATATCTGAATTAGTGGAGTGGTTTGATCTTAGCTGTTTGTAGCATCTTTGATTCTAAATTTGCCATGAATGTGTTGGCATATTTAGGCGCCATTTTGGTTCCCATTGCTGTTCCGTTGATTTGGAGGTAATGTTTGTCATTGAATACAAAATTGTTGTTGTTCAGAACCATATTTGCTGCTTCTTTGATCCACGGGATTTCGCATTTGTCGTTACTGTGCTTTTTGAGATACTTTTCAACTGCTAAGATGCCATCTACATGTGGAATATTTGTGTATAATGATGTCACATCCATGGTTACTAGAAGGGATCCTGAGGGAACATTGCAGATTTTTTTCAAAATATTGAGGAAGTCCATGTTGTCTCTGACATACGACGGTATTATTTCTTTGCACATGCGGTCAGTTAACTTGTGATCGATATATGCCGAGAGTTTTTCTGTTGCTGTTCCATTTGCTTAGAGAGCAAGGAAAGGTAGTTAGTTTCACGCAACCTCAACTGTTAGTCACGTGTGCTTCTTTGTGAGACTTCTGTATCCACAATGGATCCTATCAACTCCGAACTCAACAACTACTACAAGAAACAAATCTACAAACATCACAAAAAGGACTTCAACAAATTGAAGAAAATTACACTAAGAGAAACCAGACTACAACACCACAAGCTGAGCCTAGAACACTTCGTAGTAACAGGGACATCCCCGAAGGTCTCAATTTACCTATAAATCCTGTGTCACCGTTGAAAAACT